GACATTTAATCAGGAAGCAGCTCAGCACTAGAATCCTGCTAATTAGCAAGCAGCCACATTCCAAATGGGTTCCCAATTGAACAGCAGATTAATGGACAATATGTACTAAAATAATGATTCGTGCATTCAGCTCCTAAAATGTGTGTCTAAATTGCATCTTTAATCTCTTAAGGATATAGGTTTGCATACAAAGCCCTTAACAGAATGGATTTAATTCAATAGAAGAAGCTTTAGCCAATGACTGTTTAAGGATGAAACAGGTTTATCACTTATAAATGCAATTCTTTACTAGTTCTCATGGTTTGATGTCCTTGAACATTCAAAGGTCAAAGACAGGTGAATAAAGAAATCGGTGTGCTTCTCTGATATGCACATAAAACAGCGGGAAACTGACAATATTGATATACATAGCCTAACCTCATTTGCTCCCCAATCCCTTTATTCTCATATATCTGTTTCCTGGAATCTTGGTTCTGGACCCCATCTTTTAATCAAGTATACTATGTACCAGGTATAATGTGAGTGCTGATACTTGCTTTTCTCCATTTTGGGGGGGTATTTTGGGACTCCCAATTTTAGATGATTGGTTTTTACTTGGCTCTTAGCCCACTTTTCTGCCTTTTTTGCTTAACCACCTCCCTCCCCGCTACTCAACCACCCCCAAGGTTTTAGATGAGGGAAACCCCATGTCCCAAAGCTGGCCTGGTGAAAATTCATTGGCTAGATTCAGTCTCCTTCCATCATTTATTTATCAGTTGATGTTCACTGTAACCTTTACCCTTCTTTGCTTTTCTGTATTGCTCTCATCATCATGTAATATATGTCACATATTCCAGCTTTTTTATTGTTTTTCTTTCCCATTAGAATACAAGATTCACAAGGGATGAGACTGTTGCATTCATATCTGTGTCCCCAGTGATTAGAGTAGTGCTTGGTATACAATAACAGCTCAATAAGTATTTGTTAAATAAATTAATAAATGAATTAATCAAATATTTACTGTGTGACTATCATGTGCCAAGTATTGGCCTACAAGATGCTGGGGATATAATGTGAAGGAAACAGTCATGTTCCCTGCCAGCATGGAGATACCTACCTAGTCATTAAAGTAACAAATCACATAAATAAATGCATAATTACAAATAATGATAAGTTTTAGGAAAGAAAATAGCTGAGTGCTAAGAAGATAGCACAAGGAACCTGATTTTGATGAGGTCTTTAGGAATGGCCTTTTTCAATTTGGCCACAAGAGGGACTAGTCAGAATTTGTGTATCTGCATGTATCCCTGAGAGTATCTTGACGTTCTACCCCTTCCCTTGTTTAGTTCACTTTCATAGATATTTATTGAATTCTAGTATGTGCGAATTGAATTCTAAGAGGCCATGCTCTAGATGCTTAGGATACATCAGTGAGCAAAACAAAGAATCTTCCTGACCCCTGGCAGTATAGCTTATAGTCTATCAGAGATCAACAGATAACAATAAACATCATACATCAGCAAATCACTGAATACATTAGAAGTGTGTCGAAGAAAGCAGGGTAAGAGGAAGAGGGGCTGAGAGACTACAACTTCAACTAGGGTGGTTAGTGTAGGCTATGGACTAGGTGGACAAGGTGACATTTGAGTAAAAAATAAAGAAGAAGATAGAGTTAACAAGAAGATATCTGGGTAAACAAGTGTTTTAAGTAGAGGAAGTATTCAGAGGTTAGTTGCTAAGGTGGTTATATCCATGGTATGTGTGAGAAGGACAAGGATTACAGGGTAACTGGAACAGAATGGGCAAAGGAAGTTGTAGATGGAGCCAGAGAAGTAATCGGGGAGCAAATCAGGTAGCACTCTTTATAAGGACTTGGGTTTTTTTTTTTTTTTTTCCTTCTCGGAGTGAAATAAGATTCTCTTACAGTTCCCTGAGCAAAACAATGACATAAACTGTTTTAGGTTTTAACAAATCACTGTAGCTACTGTACTGAGGATAAACTAGGGACAAGGGAGAAGTCTAGTTCAGTTAGGAGGCTATTATACTAATCCAGGAGACATACAATGGTAGCTTGAATGAGGTGTAGTTAATTAACAATAGAGGTGGTGAAAAGTGACCAGATTCAGGGCGTATTCTGAAGATAGAGTTGCTTCCCTAATTAACTTTTGATGGATTGAATAGGAAATGTGAGAAAAAGAGAACAGCTAAAAATTACAGGTATGTTGTGTTTTCATTTTAATTCAATTCAAAATGTTTTCTAATTTCCTTTTTCTCTCTTACCATAGGTTATTTAGAAGTGTGTTGTTTAGTTTCATAATGTTTGGAGATTTCCAGGATTTTTGTTTGTTGCTTTTAATTTCTACTTTAATTCTGTTGTGATCAGAGAACATATTTTATATGATTTCATCATTTTAAACTTGCTGAGACTTGTTTTATGGCTCAGAATATGCTTTAATCTTTTAAGTATTTCATGTATGATTAAAAAGAATCTGTATTCTTCTTTATATGGAGTATTCTGTAATTGCTACTTGATTGATCAAGTTATTTGATCATTTGTCCAATTTTTTATATTATTACTGCTTATTATCAATTACTGACAAAGAGATATTATATTCTCCAATTGTGATTGTAAATTTGTCTATTTCTCCTTTAAGTTTTATGTTTTTGCTTTATGTAAATTAAAGCTATATTATTAAGGACATGAACATTTAGGTTTGTTATGTTCTCTTGATGAATTGACATTTTGGCATCCCTTGCTTTGGAATGCATTTTGTTTGACATTAATGTAACCATTGTTTGACATTAATGTAACTAAGGTGACTTTCATTTCATTAGAGTTAACATGGTGTATCATTTCCATCTTTCTACTTTTAGTATGTCTTGTATTTTAATGTGTTGGTTGTAGACAGCATTTAGTTAAATCTTGCTTTTTAAATGAAATCTGAACATCACACCCTTTTTATTGGTACATTTGGATCATTAATACTTAATGTAATTCTTGATATGGTTGGGTTTAAATCTAATACCTTGATATTTATTTCTTATTTATCTTATTTGTTTCTTGTTTCATTTTCCTCTTTTTAATCTTTTATTATTTAAATATGCATATGTATCCTTTTATCTTTTTAATTAGCATTTTAACTCATTATATTCTTCTTTCAAACAAAATTGTAATACTTCTAGTATAAGAACCTTATCAAGTACATCTTCCTTTCCTCTTTGCAGCTGTTATGCTATTGCCAAATGTTGCACTTATGTTATGAATCCCATAGTGCATTGTTCTTATTTTTGCTTTATTTTTATTTATTTATTTTTAAAGATTTTATTTATTTATTTGACAGACAGAGATCACAAATAGGCAGAGAGGCAGGCAGAGAGAGAGAGAGGAGGAAGCAGGCTCCCCGTGCAGCAGAGAGCCCGATGTGGGGCTCAATCCCAGGACCCTGGGATCATGACCTGAGCTGAAGGCAGATGCTTTAACCCACTGAGCCACCCAGGTGCCCTTATTTTTGCTTTAATAGTAAATTTTCTTTTAAAGAGATTTTTTTTAATAAGAAATATATTTTTTATTCATCCATATATTACTATTTCCAGCACTATTCAATGTTTTGATGTAGATCCAGAATTATCTTTTTCTTCTCCCTGAGGTCTTTTAATATTTATGGTATAGCTCTGATGGTTATGAACTCTCTCATCTCCATCTTATCTTTGTTTTAAAGTCTATTTTGTATGATGTAATTATAGCTCCCCCAGCTTTCTTTTGGTTTTCATTTGCATAGAATATCTTTTTGTATCCCTTCACTTTCAGTCTGTGTGTTATCCTTATATATGATTTGAGTCTTTTATAGGCAGCATATAGATGCATCTTGTTTCTTCTTATCCATTCAGTTACTCTGTATCTTTTGATTGGCGAATTTAGTCCATTTACATTTAAAGTAATTATAGATGGGTATGTACTTACTGCCATTTTGTTCATTGCCTTCTGGTTGTTTTGTAGTTCCTCTGTTCCTTTATCTCTTGGTCTCCTCCTTTGTGATTTGATGATTATTTAGTGATATGTTTAGATTTCTTTCTCATTATCTTTTTTGTATCTTTTATAGCGTTTTGCTTTGTGGTCACCATGAGGCTTACATATAACAGCTTATAATTATAACAGTCTATTTTAAGTTGACCTGAACTATTCTCAACCCTTGTGCAAGACCTAAAAATTTTTCTGTCTCTTTCTTTTGTTCTTCTTTCTCCCCACCCCCAGGCCATGGGTAGTTTCCTCAAATGGATACATTAGCCATTACTCAAGAGCAACTCTTTAGAAATCTCCAGAGAGAACTCTCTGGGGGATCTCTCTTCTCCACTTCTTTGTACTGTGCATTCTAGCCTCCTTGGCCTTCTTGAACTCCAAATGCCATCTCTTTAGTGGAAGAAGAATTCTGGGGTCTGGATTTCCTCTTTGTTCCATAAGCTTAGCTTGCCTCATTTATTTTTCTTTCTTTAGGGAATCACTGTTTTGTGCTGCCTGGTATAAACATCTGAAAAAACATTGCTTCATATATTTTGTCCTGTTTTTAAGTTGTTTCAGGTGAAATGGTAAATCTGACTCTTGATAGTCTATAATGGTTGGAATTTGAAGTTTTCTGCTTTGTATTTCGAAGACCAAGAAGACTGTCTTAATTTTAGCAAACATTTCTTAAGTATTTTCAATTAATGAAATTGATTACTTCAGGGGCATCTGGGTGGCTCTGTTGGTTGATCATCCAACTCTTGATTTCAGCTGAAATCTTTCATGATTTCAGGGTCATGAGATCAAGCCCTGCATCAGGCTCCATGCTTAGTGGGAATTCTGCTTGAGATTCTTTCTTCCTCTCCCTTTGCCCCTCCCCCACTCACATGTGCTATTTCTCTAAAATAAATAAATAAATCTTAAAAAAAAAAGAAATTGATTGCTTCACACATGAAACTTCTAAAAATAGATCTCAGTGTTTGGTATCCTAATAGAGGACTATGTGAGTAAAAAGTCAACTTACTTTATTTCACCATGGTAACCCAAATCTTGATGGTTTAGCAATGTCTCCAGGAGACTCAAAGTTAGATATAATCCATGTTTTCCTCATATAGTCTTGACCTGCAAAGTAAGAAAGGATTTGGAGTTTCATTATAATGAAATTAAGATTTAAATTTTATCTAATACAGCACTGTATGTTAACTATGCTGGAATTAAAATGTAAAAAATTAAAATAAAATTAGCAAATTTTTATGTGATTGATGCAGAGGTACAGTTCATTACTCAAAGCCATTGAACTTTGAAATGCTGATCTTAAATTTTTGCCAGCAATGAAATGGGTGGTCAAGGCCTAGAAATTATATGTACTTATTATACAAGTAAAGTGTAAAATATTTTTGTGTATCTCCTTTGATCTATAAAACAAGATTTATATATTAGTACAACCAGTATTGTTATCTGCATTTCATACATGGCAAAACCAAGACTTAAAAAGATTAAGTCACTTCCCTGATGTTACACAGTTAATAAATGATGGAACTTAGTCTAGAAACCAGATGCCCAGTAAATTTTTGTTGGATAAGTGAATAAAATGTCACTGTAGTTTCCCAGGTACTTAATATTTTCTGAGTCTAGCTGACAAATCAGTTCTCAGTTTGGTGGATGGGTGACTCTTAGATTCAAACATGTCAGACTTTAGGAGTATGATAGCATATATTGTGTGCTTAGCATATATATGTATATGTAGGTATGTATGTATGTGTGTATGTATATATATATATATATATAGAGAGAGAGAGAGAGAGAGAGAGAGAGAGACAAAGAGAAAGAGTGCATGGGCATGTGGGGGTTGGAGAGGCAGAGGAAGTAGGGGAGTGGGGAGGGAAAGGGAGAGAGGGAATCTTAAGCAGGCTCCACATTCAGTGTGGTGCCCCATGTGGGGCTTGATCTCATAACTCTGAGATCATGACCTGAGCCAAAATCAAGAGGTGGACACTTAACTGACTGAGCCACCTAGGCACCCCTAGCATAATGTTTAAACATAGACTTTGGAATGAAACAGGAGTTATTTTGGACATAAGATCTGCTGCTTGTGATCTGTGTGACCTTTCTGTGCCCAGTGTTTCATCTATTAAACAAGACTAGTATTTTCTAATTATTCCTAAGTTTCTGTGAGGGTTACATGAGAAAATAAACAGTTAGAATAATGCCTCGCTTTTAGTATGTGTTTGATTAATATTTGTTGAAATTAAGAGATGAAGAAAGGCAAGAGAGGAAAGAGGGATGAGAGGAGAGGAGAGGAGAGGAGAGAAGGGAGAAAGAGAAAACAAGAAAAGGAGAAAGAAGGGAAGAAGGGATAGAAAGAAGGAAAGAAGAAAGAAAGGGAAGGAGGAAGGAAGGAAAGGTAGGGAGGAAGGAAGGAAAGGGCAAAGAAAGAGATGTCTAATTTGTGCTTGATCTCAACAGTAGCTACTATTATTACTTTGAGACGAAGTTCAGTACAGTGACTGTATTATGCATGTTTTTTTACTGATGATTTGATTATGGGCTGTGCTGACCCTGGAGTGATTGCCCCTCTCAAGGCTAACCAGTTCCTAGCAAGGGTAAAGGACAGGCTTGAAAGTGTGTTTTTCTTTTATATGCAAAGCAACCTCCTCTTTTATGGGGGGAGGGGGGCTCTTGCACTGGGGCCACTATTTCCCTACCCTTATCATCCCAGGGTCAAGTACTAGGCAACTAGGGACAGCCCCTATACCCCAGAGATCACTGAAATTATTCAAACTAGCCAATCCTAAACTGGCTTACCCTGCCTCTCCTATTCCACAATAAGGGCTCCTGTCCACATTTTCCCTTCATCCCCTCTGCCGTCTGACCAACCCTGCTGCTTCTGGTGGAGGCTGTGTGGGTGTGCCATGCTCTCTTGCCTTGGAAGCTGTGTATAACAAACTGTCTCTTCAGTGGCACTCATCTCCTGATCTGTTGGTTGGAACATAGCAGAATAATAATAAAACCTCAACTGTAAAACAGTGACATAAAAACTAATCTTTGTTTATCTTTATGGAAGGAAACAAACAATACATCTAGGTTCAACACTTGTACTTGTTACTTCCTAGGTATAGAGGAGTCCTGTCAGGGATGCTTAACGAGGAAAGAAGATCAGTTTGGAACACAAAAAACAAAAAAACAAAAAAAAAAAGCGAGTAAGAGTTTACAGAAGAGTAAGGGGTCAGGGAAAATTCCAGGCAGAAGAAAATCATGTGTGATTAATGGATGAGATAGAGTATGGTACTTTTTAGAAACTGCATATATTTTGACATTATCCATTCTACTATAGTTTTATACCCTTTTCCAGGCTGGGCAGTAATGATGTGGTCACTAGAGTTTCTTTAAAAGACACTGGCTTAGTGAGGCCTGCAGTTGTGTTTCATTCATTTTTCAATGGCCACTTGTTTAGCACCACGTTGAAAAATAAAATATCAATAATTATTGAACAAACAAATACATAGATGAACAAGGAAGTGAATGAATGAGTTGAAGACAGTAAAGAGTAGAGTGTGTATGGGCAGAGAGTGGCAAAAATAAATTTAGAGAGGTAGAAATTAGTCACATTATGCCATTTTACTCCTTAAATAAAAATTGAATTATCCTCATGGTTATAGCATATTAATGTATTTTTAAACATCAGTGTAAGAGGTTATTCTAAAAACAGTTCATTTACTTCTGGCAACACTGAGTTTTGCTCTAGGCTAAAATGAACAGCAGATTAGAAATAGTACATCAGGGTTCCTAGAAGCAGATTGATTGATGGCTGCTAAGAGCTGACAGTTATAAAGGAGCAAAAAAACATCTACCAGAATCCTGGCAACTTAGTGTTATTCAGGATTATTACTAAAATTGCTTAAAGCTTGAATATTCATAATGATGACCCTTGTTCAAAAAGAAAACATTTCATTATGTGTAGTTTCTTCTGTTTAGTAAGGAAATGTTTTTAATCAAATGTAAATAAAATGTCTATGTTATTTAGAAAATGACATGTAAAATAAATATTCATTTCCCCAAAATGCTCCTTGAAAGAGTGGTGCACAGATGCTCTCTCAACTTCCTCTCTTCCCACTTAAAGCTCCATTTGCATTTTACCCCATCACTGTACTTTAACTGTATTTGCCAAGTCACTGGTAACTTCCATGGTTTGAATTTGCATGAGTACCCTTCAGTCCTAATTATAGATTGTCTCTTCACATCATATAACATGACCGATCATGCCATCCTTCTTTAAATCTCTTTTTTGGCTTTCTTGACCACTCCCATGCCTCTTGTGATTATTTTTAGTCTCCTTTGTTGGCTTCTCTTCTACCTACTCCTTAACAATAAGTGTCCTCTACTTTCCCTTCTCACTTTCCATTACATCCTTGGGTAACCCTGACTACTCCCATGGCTTCAACTGTATATTAAAGACCTTTAAATCATTATTTAGCTTTAATGTCTCAACCCAGAACAAAGTGTTTAAAACTGAGCCCCTCATCCTATCCCCCATCCCTCCAAAGCTACTCCTTGTTGGTTTTCTATCACAGAGAATGGTACCACCACTCACCAAGTTGCCAAGGCCAGAACCCTGGGAGTCCTTTTGATCTTCCTAATTCAGGGCCCATATCTAGTTAGTCACCAAGATATACTTTCCTACCTTCTTAATATCTCTATTTGTCCTATTAACATCCTGGTTTAAAACATCCTAATTTCTTGCTTGAATTATTGGAATAACCTTCTAAAGGGTCTCTTTGCCTCTGATTCTTCACATTCCATTAGAGTGCTTTTTCCAAATTTCAAATTTGAACATATCATTCACTGCTTAATATACTGTGATGATCCTTTTGGGTCTTCAGGACAAAGTTCAGCTCCTTAGAAAGACCTGTCATAAATTGGCCCCAACTTTCCTTTCTAATGTCAACTTGGGCAACATCTCCCACCATCCCCAGCCACCACACACCCACTATATTCTGTCTGTATGAATGACTTCCAGTTTCCTGAATTAGTTGTGCTCTCTCTTATTTCAGTCCCATTCCACACTGTTCTTTTTACCTAGAATACTTTTCCCATCATTTCCTCTGCCCTTCCTCCTAATTCTTTGCCAAATTCACTTGTCCTGTAAGATTTAGTATTTGCATCATCTCCTCTGTATGGGTTTTGAGCCGGGCTATGTTGTTCTTTGCTGTGTTCCAAGTTACTGCCGTCACTGCATTTGTCATACAGAACTATGTCATGTTTAAAATGGCCTCTTTCCCCTGAGCTCCTGGAGAACTCAGGAACTGAGTTCATAATAGTCTCTTGTCCTTGGTGGCTTATCATAGTGCTCAGAACACTGGATGAGGATCTATGTTGCCTCAACAGTCCTGCCAGAAGCCATCATTGCATCAAAGTTGAACTAGAGGACAGGAGGTGTGAGTCCACGGAATGGGGATGGTAGATATTTGACATGTTTTTAGACTATTCTTTGAGAATGGCAAAATTTCATTCATTTGAGTGGCAAGATGCAAGATTATCTATCCTTCAAGACTACATTTATTTATCTGAGAAGCTACAAATGATCTGTGAGTCCTCTGAAATGGCTGCAAGTGTGGCACCCCCTGCCACACACACACTGAAAGGGCACAGGGAATGTAGATTTCATGAGAAACTTAAGAAGCCTGTGATTCTTTCCCCTACACTCCAAGGAGATTAAAAATTGCTGTTCAAAAAGAGAAGCCCTTCCAACTCGTAGCCTTTCCCAATCTACCCTGAAGTCCTATGTCCAGGAACATGAATGCGAGGGTACAGCTGCTGCTGCTTTTTGTATCCAATGTCCCTTGGGCCTCAATTTGTCTCATGTTCTGGGGAAACAGAATTCTATTTTACATGCCTCCCAGACTGCAGTATACTCTGAGTGAGTTCCAGATGTCTTAAGAGATGCCAGATGGCTCAAAAGAGACAGACCAGCTTCAAGGAAAATGTGCCCCATTTCTTTGGACATGAACCACAAATTTAAGCTTTCAGGGCCAGCTCTCATAGCCAGTGCTCAATGTGGCCATCACTTGACCCTGGAAATATCCTTCTTCCTCGGGCTATTTTGAGTAATAATTTAACCAAATACTAATTTTTTTTTTATTAGAAGAGAAAGAAACTAGTGTTTACTGAGTGCCTCCTATATTAGTGTGGGAAGTGCCTTCACACACTTATCTTGTTTAATCCTCACAATAGATACAGGAAATAGATATTTGAAACCCAGTTTTTTTTCCAGCTGAAAAATCTGAAGACTCAAAAGAGTTTAAGCAAAATTATTTTTTTTTTTTTTTTTTTTTTTTTAAAGATTTTATTTATTTATTTGACAGAGATCACAAGTAGGCAGAGAGGCAGGCAGAGAGAGAGGAGGAAGCAGGCTCCCTGCTGAGCAGAGATCCTGATGTGGGGCTCGATCCCAGGACCCTGGGATCATGACCTGAGCTGAAGGCAGAGGCTTTAACCCACTGAGCCACCCAGGTGCCCCTAAGCAAAATTATTTTGATTCACAAGTTATTTATGTGTTATTCTACTAATATCACCTAAGAACATACAGGCTTCATTGATGGTGTCATGTAATTTCCAATCTAACAAACAATTGCTGCTTCTTATTCTATTTCCACTGATCTTATGAACATAATAAAAGCCATTTATGTTGTGTGGAAACTTCTGCAGTGTGCTTTCCAGTGAAACATGCTTGCATGTGTAATATTCACATACATAACAGACACATGTACACATGATCATGACCTTTGCTTTTGTATGAAAGCATAAAAAAAGCTGCTTCTGGCCTGGAATATGAATCTACTTCCAGCATCCTGTGTCCTTGCTTCCTTAATAAATGTCATGTATTCCTCTTAATTCTCTCCATTCTAACTCCTGTTTACCTAGATGAAAGGTATTTTCCAATCTTTTCTCTAGCACATTCTTTGTTACCCCGCCCCCCCCCCCATTGTAAATCCCTTCTACTCCTCTGGAATTCTAAGTCTTACATCCTTGACTCAATGGATAATTCCAGATATCTTTTGGTGAATAGAGTTCCAATTCTGACTTTCAATATCCAGTACTCTTCTGTACTTTGAACCCTGGCTCTGCTACTTGCTAGCTGTGGCCCTTGGATGATTCCATTGGCTGCCCTGAGACTCAGTATTTTTCATTAAATTGGTATTATAACATCCATCTGGATTTTATAGTTATCTGTAAATGTTAAATGAGAGAAAGTAAATAAAGCATTTAGTGCAGGGTTTGGCACTTGCTTAGTAAGAATTCAATAAAGTGGTGGTGATAAGTTGTTATTGATGGAATTGTAGTAATAATTGTAATTATTATTTCGCCTGTATTCAAGGTAGCCTTATGACTAGGGTTTCTTTGGCTAAAGACAACACTTGAGTTTATGTGGTTCTGTATCCTCTTCCATAAAACACATCTGCACTGTTAATTCTCCAAAACAGCACATTAATCTCTATCAGCAATAAATCACATTAGTTCCTAAAAACTCAGTGTTCCTAAGGAATGGGATACCACATGCTGATGTCACTGGAAGCTGGTAGAGCGTGTGAGAAATGAACATTTGGCCTTGGAAAAATTGTTTGTTTTCCATTGTGAAATAGTATTTGAGTGTTGTCATATTCTCTATTATTAACATAGAACATATCCCAGCCCAAGTAATTCCTGGACCAATTCTGCCCATTCTACAATTCCTTTCTCCTTTTGTTTTTCTCCTTTCAGGCACAGAAAACAAACAATTGTATAATGTGATCCACGGGCAGAACACAGATTACAGCTGCACTTTCTGCTAGATCCTGAGGTGGACTGTGGAGACGAACACACTGGAACTCTAATTTTGGTTACCTTGGGTGGGGGCAGGGAGCCAGAGAAAGAGTGGTCTTCCTTCTGGAAATTCAGACTGAGGCCCTCTATGTCGAGTTTGCCTTGGATTGTCCTTAGTGCCATCAGGATCTCCAGTAGGTTCTCGCCCACTTATGACTGTGGGCTGGCCTCTGGAGGAGGAGTACTCTGTGGAGTGGCAGGGGAAAATCTGTGACACATGAACCTCCCAAAGCTTCTGTGTTTTCATACCACATTTCTCAGTCCTGACATACACCATGAACCCAGAGAACCCACCCAGTAAGGGCTTCTAGATCTCAAGAACCTGATCATGGGGTCTTTGCATGGAGATTTCATAGATTATCTCCAATCTGTTCTATTCTACTGACCACTAGAGCCTCTTCTCCAGGAGGCACCAATGAATTCGGCTAGAACATAAACCAAAACTTGTAATCCACTCTCTCACTCTTTTTTCCAAGTTGAGAAGAAAAATTACAAGTGACCACAGTAGTTTACTTTAGCTGCTTGAGCTTACTTCTCTTAAGCCCATATAATTATTGATGGCAATTCAAATTTCCAAACTGTCCCTTGCCACAGGCAAAGCAAAGTGGATCCGGCCAGATCCCTATAACCAGGGATTTCCTTCTATAGAAGGAAATTTCGAATCAAGTGAACTTCCCATGTTATCCTTGACTCTGCAATTAGTATCTGGAAAACTCAGAAAAGTTTTGGGAGTAATGATTTTGCAAATGTTTCTAATTATTATGATTGTTTATCTCATTGACTATTGTAACTTTAAATGATAGGTGAAAACCCATGATAGGTGATAAAGCATTATAATCATTTATTTTATGAAACTAGTTTGAGATGTTTACTCATTTAGCATTCAAGTGATGTCTCCTTCTGGATCCAGCTATCTTCTTGGCAGTGAAGCTTTTCCTAATTTCCACTGTCTCAACATAACGTGCCACTTCCCTACAAGGACAGTCTGTGACATCTCCAAGCCTCTACTCCTGTAAATCATCTTCTTATCAGTGATGTGTCAATAAACCTTAATAACCTGCTCTTGAATATAATGCCCTAATTTATTGGATTACTGATTTTCATGGTGTAAGTACTCCCACCATGGATGACTTCAAGCTGCCAATAGGATGTCACTGAATGATGATGAATATTTTTTCATGTGTCTGCTAGCTATTTTTATGTCTTCATTGAAGAAGTGTCTATTCATGTCTTCTGCCCATTTTTTGACTGTTTATCTGTTTTTTGGGTGTTGAATTTGTGAAGTTCTTTATAGATCTTGGATATCAGCCTTTTGTCTCTAATGTCATTTGCAAATATCTTCTCCCATTATGTGGATTGCCTCTTGTTTTGTTGACTGTTTTCTTTGCTGTGAAGAAGTTTTTGATCTTGATGAAGTCCCAAAAGTTCATTTTCACTTTTGTTTCCTTTGCCTTTGGAGATATGTCTTGAAAGAAGTTGCTGTGGCTGATGTCAAAGAGGTTACTGCCTATGTTCTCCCCTAGGATTTTGATGGATCCTGTCTCACATTTAGGTTCTTCATCCATTTTGAGTTTATCTTTGTGTATGGTGTGAAATAATTTTCAAGTTTCATTCTTTGTATATAACTGTCCACTTTTCCCAGCACCATTTATTGAAGAGACTGTCTTTTTTCCATTGGATATTTTTTTCCTGCTTTGTTGAAGATTAGTTGACCACTGAGTTGAGAGTCCATATCTGGGCTCTCTATTCTGTTCCATGGATTTATGTGTCTGTTTTTGTGCCTGTAGCATGCTATCTTGGAGATCACAGCTTTATAATATAGCTTGAAATCAAGCGTGATGCCCCTAGCTTTATTTTTCTTTTTCAACATTTCCTTGGTGATTTGGGGTCTTTTCTTGTTCCATACAAATTTTAGGATTGTTTGTTCCAGCACTTTGAAAAATGTATTTTGATCGAGATGGCGTTGAAATTATAGATTGCTCTGGGCAGCATAGACATTTTAACAATGTTTATTCTTCTGATCCATGAGCATGGAATGTTTTTCCATCTTTTTATGTATTCTTCAATTTCTTTCATGAGTGTTTTGTAGTTCCTAGAATATAGATCCTTCACTTCTTTGCTTAGGTTTATTCCAAGATATCTTATGGTTTTTGGTGTTATTGTAAATCGAATTGATTCTCCAATTTCTCTTTACAGTTACATTGTTAGTGTGTAAGAAAGCAACTGATTTCTGTGCATCGATTTTGTATCCTGCCACATTACTGAATTGCTGTATGAGTTCTAGTAATTTGGGGGTGAAGCCTTAGCCATCAGGGAAATTCAAATAAAACCACGTTGAGATACCACCTTATACTAGTTAGAATGGCAAAGATGGACACGGTAAAAAACAAAAAGTGTTGGTGAAGTGGTGGAGAAGGAGGAACCCTCTTACACTGTTGGTGGGAACGCAAGTTGGTGAAGCCACTTTTGAAAACAGTGTGGAGATTCCTCAAAAAATTAAAAATAGAGTTATCCTATGACCCAGCAGTTGCACTACTGGGTATTTGCCCCAACGATATAGATGTAGTGAAAAGGAGGGCCATATGTACTCCAATGTTCATAGCAGCAATGGCCACAATAGCTAAACTGTGGAAAGAGCTGAGATGCCCTTCAACAGAAGAATGGATAAAGAAGATGTGGTCCATATATACAATGGAATATTACTCAGCCATCAGAAAGAATGAACACCCAACTTTCGCATCAACATGGGTGGGACTGGAGGAGATTATGCTCAGTGAAATAAGTCAAACAGAGAAAGACAATTATCATATGGTTTCACTTACTTGAGGAACATAAGGAATAACATGTAGGACATTAGAAAAAGGAAAGGAGAAGTGAATTGGGGGAAATCGGAGGGGGAGATGAACCATGAGAGACTGTGGACTCTGAGAAACAAACTGAGGATTTTAGAGAGGAGGAGCGTGGAGGAATGGGTGAACCTGGTGGTGGATATTAAGGAGGGCATGTATTGCATGGAGCACTGGGTGTTGTACATAAACAATGAATCTTGGAACACTGCACCAAAAACTAATGATGTGTTTTTTGGTGACTAACATAACACAATTAAAAAAAGAAGAGGATGTCACTGAATAAGGATCTGGGAAGGGGTGCTCCTAATTGGCCCTCAGTGGTGCTCTAGCACCTCGTGCTTGATCAGCTCTTTCATAATTCCTTCTTCTTTTCCTTAATAAGTCTTCCTCAGGTTGCAATCACATTTTTATTTCTTTAGCTATTGTTTCATGTCTGACTTCCCTACTAGACTGTTCCATCAGATGTGGTTCAAGTCTGTTTTGTTTCTTACTATTTCCTGAGGATCTTGTACAGTACATGGAATTGATTATTTTTATATGTATTTAACCTTTACTAGAGGTCATATTGTATTTTCTTTTTTTCTTAAAGGATTTTGTTTGAGAGAGAGAGAGAGGGAGGGAGGGAGTACATGTGAGTGGGATGAGGGGCAGAGGGAGAGACGGAGGGAGGGGAAGAGAATCTCAAGCAGACTCCCTGCTGAGTGCAATACCTGATGTGGGGCTCAATTTCACGACCCTGAGATCATGACCTGAGCTGAAATCAAGATGTAGTTGCTTAACCAACTGAGTCACCCAGGTGCCCCTCTATCCTCTTTTTGCTCTGTGACTTTTACTTGAGTTTTGGCCTAATAGCTCATATTTTCTGAAAGCTTAGTACAGGAAAGAAGGAGTGGCTGTTTAACTTTGTTTAGGTCATATAGTTTCTACACCCTCCTTCCCCATTCAGAATGTTCTCCACCTCAGGAATCTCTCTGTTTAGTGGAGGAAAATGCCAGCTTTGTGCTTTATAAGGCTCTCTTTGCTGAGAGAGCACATGACCAAGACCTTGGCCATAAGATGTATCTGTCCCAGATCTGAATCGCCAGTTTTCCTTCCTCTTTCCTTTTCTTGCAATGTCAGTTCCTGGGGGTAGTAATTCATGAACCTTTGGTCGCTGTCTCTGAACAGCAACTACAAAATGGGCAGGAGTTGTATGGAACCCATTTGCTTCAGCTGGTGGGGTTTCTTAGGAAACGGGTTGTGGGACATTGTTTCATCTGGTCCAACTTAGATAAGGAGAGCTGTTGCCATTCTTGTTGCCACAGCTGATGATGGAGGCTTTTTAAACATCACAGAGCTGCCCCCCTAAAGGCTCTTCCTGACAGAACATGGAGGGGGGGCTTTTTCGGCAGTACAGTAATTAACAAAGAACCTGGGTTCATGATAGGCCATCAGTTCTGCACTTCCACAGATACACTGTCTGGTTTGTATCAAGCAGCACCTTATCCCATGAGTTCAAAGTGATCCATCTGTGCACACCATTTTTATAGAGTAGGTATCCAGATGTCTCTGCAAGTGGATCATTGGAGGTGCCAATTACATTAAACAATATTCAGTGAGCATCTACCTTGTGCTGGGAACAATGCTAAATACTGAGTTGGCCAGGGTAGACTCTATTACTAACCTCAAATGTCAAGGGAGTAGTTACAGGTACAATGGCTGTCAGAAAGAGAAAGGATGGTGGGACCATACCACAGAGTGACAGACAGATCTAACCTAGTCTAGGGCTCAGGAGTGCCATCCTGTCCTGCACTCCTAAGACCCATATCTGCCAGTGGGTAGCCATGTCTTTAATGCATAGTCTGCCACCTCGCAGGGCCCAGATCTCATGGTTTGTGCTTTATGAAGTGTGGTTGCTGACTATTAAATATTTCTGGGACTTCATGGCCCTCATAGGACAGCTGCCCCCAGATATTTGACTGGTATACCTACCTGGCAGTGTCTTTCTTTGCACTTTGAGCCTTGAGGGAAAGATTGGAACTTGCCAACCTCTGCATTCACTGTGCTAGGCAAGGTTCACCTGGCCAGCAGCTGGTATTCAATGAATATAAAAAGGCATGAAAAGGGCACACTGTAGAAAGGAAGCAAGTCTGACACTTGACCCGGGGCCATTTTTACAGGAAACTACTATCCTAGTGTGAAGGGATCAATTCCAATAAGGTGACTCTTAACTTCAATGTCCCATTATTTGTAACCGAAAAGAGTGTCTTCTGGTAGGATAGTTTAAAAATAATTTTAAAAATTCCTATATAGCATTCCTTATATATCAGATACTATTTTTAAGAACTTTGCATCGGTTAAGTTACTCTCAAGATCTATGAAGTGAAGGGATATCTCTTATGACTCTCATTTCACAACAGATGCACAGAGAGGGTAAGTGACTAGCCCAAGGTTACATTGCCATTAATTGGCAGAAACAGGGGTTGAGCTTGGGTGTCTGGTAATGGTGGCTATGCTCCCAACCTCTGTAGTTTATCAACTTCCTTGGAGAACACAGAGACTAGCACACTCTATTGTGCCCCCTCTCTGAAGATACTCCTCACATCCTATTTTTACTTTATGTCATTTCTTATCCTTTAGATTACATTATTGATTCTGGTACCTGAAACCCTTCTTTGCTAGTGCCTGTAAACCAGGAGTTCATTGACCGAACATAGTTTTGGAGTCACATTTTATAGACTGGAATTCTGCACCAGTGTATGATCATTTCTTATTCCATGAGGGTTTTCATTGTCACATGGCAACCTCATTAAAATAAGACACATGCTTGATCTCAAGAAACCTGTGCAATTGTTGCAAACAAATTTCTGTGCTGGCCTGTGTACAAGAGAGAGGGGAAATGACAAGCATAAGATGGCTGTTGGTGAAGGGCACAGTGATTCTACATTGGGTGAACTTTTCGGGTAAATGACCTGAAAAATTACTACCTATTCTAGAAGCCTAGGAACACTATGCCCAAGGAAAGAACCTTTGGCCATGATGATGACAACCCTGAGATTTCCTCGGTTTGCTGCCTGCAACTTCTTTGCTTTGCGGTGGATCATTGGAAGCTGCAGCTTTTAAAAACCAGAGGAGCTTTCCATAATTCACCTGAAAATCCAATAGGAAACAGAACATCCTCATTTAGTGCATATGTAAGAGGAAGAAACGCCCATAAGGGAAATGCCAGTTGAGATAGAGCATTTGGGAATGTTTTAATAAAAGAATTTATGAAGGGGCAGCTGGGTGGCTCAGTCAGTTAAGTGTCCAACTTTTGGTTTCAGCTCAGGTCATCTCGGGGTCGTGAGATCGAGGCCTGCATTGGGCTCCAAGCTCAGCACAGAGTCTCCTTCAGATTCTTTCTCCTTCTGCCCCCTCTTACCTGAGTTCTCTCTCTCAAATAAATAAATAAATAAAATCTTCAAAAAACCCCTTTCAGTAAAAGTTTTTAAACTGGCTTTAAAAATAGAGTATAATAATTATTAGTGCTTTTTACCAACTATTCCTATTATTCTCCCTTCCTGATTGCCTTGTGATTGGTAAGGGCCATGGGAACATTTGTAGCCAATGAGTCATGAGCAGAAGTGACGTGTGCTCCTTCTGGCTGAGGGTTAAACTGCTCACACGAGATGCTCTAGAGCCTTCTTTTTTCCCCTCTGCCAGCCCATCCCAAAATATACCAAAGTCACTGCTTCATCAGCCTGGGTTTTGGAGCTAAGATGACAATATGGTTGCTGACTTATTATAGAAATGTAAGTGAGAAATAAACTTTTGTTGTTTGGGGCCACTGACACTATTTGTTACTATAGCCTAACCTAGCCTTTAGCTTCTGTCTCTCTCACATCTCTTATAAATTTATTATGTATAGCATAGGCTTATATTTAGATATATCCAACAGATATATTCAAATTATTTGAGAAAAAGGCCTTATTAAGCTAAACGAAAAATCTTAAGAATCTCCCCCTCCCCGACTCTTTCCCCCCAGGAAAGGACTGAAGGGATGTTGTCTATTTCCATTTCTGGTCTAGATGACATCCTAGGGACCTCTGGTGGGCAGACGACTCCACGGTGCTGGAGGAGGTAACAGTTGGGGAGAGAAGCTATATAAGTTTCTGATATAAACTTGGTCTCACACCAGAGAATCTGATGAAGCTGAAGATTCATAGTGGTTGTACTAAGTGACATTGTATCACTAAATACTTATCATCAGTATACAACAAATTATAGTTGGTTAGAGATGGGCATGAGGGACAACCAACATTTATTTGAGTGCCTACTGAATGCTAAGCACATGACCAGGTAATTTATATTTATTATATTACTAAATTCTCATAGTACCCCTATGAGGTTGGTTTTGGCCTGGTTTTCTATCAGCACATGCTCACTCATGATTTACCCACTGCTCTTACTTTTTCCTATTGTAGAAAATATTCCTCTAAAATTTGGTTGCTCTTGGACTGTGCTTTGTATCCACCCACAAATGTAAGCTTGGAAAGTGCAGTGCTCAGAGCAAGAGCCCTGGACTTGTCACTGGGTAGCCTTTATCTCTGCCCTGGGTCTGCTATTAATTCTCTGGGTGTGCTGCACTATTTCCTTCCCAACTATGGGTCTTGATTTCCTAATTAGAAAAATGGTGGTTATATTATATTTCAAAGATACCTCCCACCTGTAACTCTCTAGGAACTGTCCTGATACATCCTAGTCAAATTTACCATTCTTATCTCACAACTTACAGACTAACCAACTCGTCAATGAGACTCAAGTGAGCCCATTATCCTAAATCTGTAACCATCTCAATATTGCTAAGAGCAGACAATGAAAGTCAGGACAGAGAAGTCTTTGAAAAAGAAATCAAATAGGGCTGAGACAATCCATTTTCTCTTCTTGTCTATTCTGACTAGAGAATTCCACATATGAATAAAAATAAGCTTTGTATCTTAGGGCTTAATAGTAAAGGTTATTTTTTAAAAAGAAACCAAACTTTTAATTCTATTACTCTAGTGGATACAAGTAAAATAAACAAAGGAAACCACACTTTTTTTTTTTTTTTTTGACAGAAAGAGATCACAAATAGGCAGAGAGGCAGGCAGAGGGAGAGGAGGAAGCAGGCTCCCTGCTGAGCAGAGAGCCCAGTGCAGGGCTCAATCCTAGGACCCTGAGATCATGACCTGAGTTGGAGGCAGAGACTTAACCCACTGAGCCACCCAGGTGCCCCAGGAAACTGCACTTAAAATAGCAACATGGTTGTACCATTTCTGGAGAGTCCCTCCTAGAAAATTTCTGGCAAATGATCTTGACTGTTATTAACTGTAGAGGAACTTCATGCCTCAAGAAAATGCAGCTCAGTTGAGATTGGAGAAGAAATCCTGAAGCGATAGGATCCAGGGTCTTCAGCTCTTTCTGGAGCTTTTGTAGTAAGCCAGAGCTCAAAGGGTGTCATCTGAGCTCTTTTCTGACCAGGGCAAGAAGGAAAGCATCTTCTCTTGTTGTTCCACTTGGCTTCTGGTCAAAATCCTGACCTAAGAGCAATAGCAATAGTAAATTAACAGGGGTCTAAAAGAAAAAGCCTGAAGGCCAATGCAAGGAAGCAGAAGCCTAGTGGGGCTGGTAGCAGAGCACCCACTTGCAGGCCTGGCCTAGAACAGGGCAAATTGGTAACACTGGAGGCAGATGTTCAGTCTGGGTGTATTCTTCAGTTTGCAATGCCTCAGGACCTTTGCCTGCAGGAGAAGGAAAGAAGCAAATCATTTTAGAGTGCATACTCTTGTTGGAAGGCTCCTTAAGTTATAGCACAGGTCTTCTGTAAATTATTTTTTTAATTAAAAGGGAATTTAGAATGCCACGTCTTAGAGACCCTTTGGATCTGGGAGGAAGAAGGTAGGAGAAAGATGGAGAAAGATGAGAAGTTCAGTTGAGAAATCAGAGCTTTGTCTTTGAGCTCACCAGAGAACTTAGCTTCTTGCAGCTGATTGGACATAGGGCCTCTAATGTCCCCCAGTCCATCCTCTCAGAAGTTCTCATCTGCTCCACGTTAGAATCTACAGGCATCAAATAATACCCTTCATTCACAATAGAAAACAAGTCCCGTCTTAGTATAGGTATGACAGGCTGGGCAGAAATGTCCCTTGCCATTTGTTCCAGGGGCCAGTCTCTCATATTTCTTCTGGGGAAGCCATGGATATAGGATAGGGACTGGTCTCCAGTAGGTACAGAGCTGCAGTGGGCATTTGACTGGCTGTGAATCTTAAAGAAACAAAGACAAATGGTAGTAAGGTTCAGAAGGGGAGAGGAAAAGAGAAAGAGGAGAGAAGGGAGAATATGAGTGAGGAACCAATCTTTTATTTATTTATTTATTTAAAGATTTTATTTATTTATTTGACAGACAGAGATCACAAGTAGGCAGAGAGGCAGGCAGAGAGAGAGAAGGAAGCCGGCTCCCTGCCGAGCAGAGAGCCCGATGCAGGGCTCAATCCAAGGATCCTGGGATCATGACCTGAGCCGAAGGCAGAGGCTTTAACCCACTGAGCCACCCAGGCGCCCCAAATCTTTAAAACACATTCCCAGTTCCAAATAACTTCAACCCATATACTCATTGAATCATTCAGTCCCCCCAAAAGAAAGCTTGCCTCAACATCGATCTCAGCATTATGCAATTAACATATCTGACAAATATATTAACAATAAAACAATGCTGTTTCTTTTGTGCAAGAAAGAAGGTGTCTGTGTTAGACAAAGGAAAAGTAGGTCTAACATAAGGTATTCATAGACAAAAGTCAAGTTCTTATTAGAGATAAAGGTATCCTTAGGCTGTTTTATTTTTATTTATTTATTTCTTTTAAGTAGGCTCCAAGCCCAAAGTGGTGCTTGACCTTATAACCCTGAGATTAAGAGTCAAATATTCTCCTGACTGAGCCCACCAGGCACCCCCTTAGGCTGTTGTAATTAGCAGATTGAGGAAGGGCAGCAAAGGCAATTATAAGTTTTGTCAAGATTGGAATAGAAGAGATTAAAAAGCCCAGCATGTTTTATCCTAAGAGCAATGTTATTAAAGGTTACAATAGAATAAATGATGGAACAAAGGTTAAGGATAAAGTGTCATTCCCTCTTGCAATGGAGTATGGTATATTAATTATGTTTTTTTAAAATTTTCTAGATTTTATGATGTTTTGACATCTTGGGTATCCTTGCTGGCTGGAAGACATTGCCCTTCCCAGGGTTAATTAATTTCTCTCCAAGCAAATATTTCCCCTGCCCCAAATCAACCCAGTCCAGATACTAGACAGCTAGGGACAGCCCTTAGGCTTGAAGCCTGCTGGAATTATTCAGACTAGCCAGTTCTAAGCTATTTACCCTACCCTGCCTTGCCTTTCCTGTGGAAACCTCAGTAAAGGCTATAGCCTGGGATTTTGCCTCACTTCTGCCTCCTGACTGAGTGTGGCACTCCCCCATGTGATCCTGTGATGTCTCATATCCCCTTTTTGTGGGAAATGTTACTAAACTATTCTTTCAAAAGCAGTTGTCACTATATCTGTTATCTTATCATACCAGATAAAAAAACATCTTGGGTACAAATTGACACACATGGTTATTTTTAGTATCAAACAATTGAAAGGAGACAGTTACCAGAATGATTCACTGGAAACTCAATGTCTGTACTCATTGATTGGCATGTTAAAAAACCTGTCAGTATGGATAAAAACCTACAGGAGCTTTATAGTCATGAAGCATTTTAAAGAAAAATCAAGAGGCTCTCTAGAGTGGGAGGAGTGAACAGGAGTGGCGGAGAGTTCTAGAATAGACATAAAAATAACAAGACATTTATTGGACACATAATCTGTACAAGGCACAATATGGATGCTTTGTTTATGTCATTCCATTTAATCTTTACAACAAGTTCTCATCCATTTTGAGTTTACCTTTGTGTATGGTGTGAGAGAATGGTCAAGTTTCGTTCTCCTGTATATAGCTGTCCATTTTCCCCAGCACCATTTGTTGAAGAGACTGTCTTTTTTCTACCGGATATTTTTTCCTGCTTTGTTGAAGATTAGTTGACCACTGAGTTGAGGGTCCATATCTGGGCTCTCTATTCTGTTCCATTGACCTATGAGTATGTTTTTGTGCCAGTACCTCGCTGTCTTGGTGTTCATAGCATTGTAATATAGCTTGAAATCAGGCAATGCGATGCCGCAACTTTGTTTTTCTTTTTCAAATTTTCCTTGGCAATTTGGGATCTTTTCTGGTTCCATACAAATTTTAGGATTGTTTGTTCCAGCACTTTTTTGATCAAGATGGTGTTGAAATTATAAATTGCTCTGGGCAGCATAGACATTTTAACAATGTTTATTCTTCTGATCCATGAGCATAGAATGTTTTTCCACCTTTTCATGTCTTTTTAAATTTTTTTCATGAGTGTTTTATAGTTCCTAGAATATAGATCCTTCACCTCTTTGGTTAGGTTTATTCCAGGATATCTTATGGTTTTTGGTGCTATTATAAATGGAATCAATTCTCTAATTTCTCTTTCTATAGTTACATTGTTCGTGTATAAGAAAGCAACTGATTTCTGTGCATTGATTTTGTATCCTGCCACATTACTGAATTGCTGTATGAGTTCTAGTAATTTGGGGATAGAGTCTTTTGGGTTTTCACATAAAGTATCATGTCCTCTGTGAAGAAGGAGAGTTTGAATTCTTCTTTGCCAATTTAAATGCCTTTTATTTCTTTTTGTTGTCTTACTTGGTGTTGCTAAGACTTCTAGGACTATGTTGGACAATAGTGGAGAGAGTGAGCATCCTGTCATGTTCCTGATCTCAAGGGAAAGGTTCTCAGCTTTTCCCTAAATGAGAATGATGGTCACTGTGGATTTTTCATAGATGGATTTTATGAAGTTGAGTGTTCCCTCTATCCCTTATACTCTGAAGTGAGACAGGAATCCATCAAAATACTAGAGGAGAACATAGGCAGTAAACTCTTCAACATTGGCCACAGCAACTTCTTTGAAGATATGTCTCCAAAGGCAAAGGAAACAAAAGTGAAATGAACTTTTGGGACTTCATCAAGATGAAAAGCTTCTGCACAGCAAAGGAAACAGTCAACAACACAAAGGGGCAACCCATGGAATGGGAGAAGATATTCGCAAATGACATTACAGACAAAGGGCTGATATCCAGGATCTATAAAGAACTTATCAAACTCAACACACACAAAACAGATAACCATGTCAAAAAATGGGCAGAAGACATGAACAGACACTTCTCCAAAGAAGACATACAAGTGGTTAACAGACACATGAAAAAATGTTCCTCATCATTAACCATCAGGGAGATTCAAATCAAAACCATATTGAGATACCACCTTATACCGGTCAGAATGGCAAAGATTGACAAGGTAAGAAACAATAAGTGTTGGAGAGGATGTAGAGAAGGAGGAACCCTCTTACACTGTTGGTGGGAATGCAAGTTGGTACAGCTACTTTTGAAAACAGTGTGGAAGTTCCTCAAAAAATTAAAAATAGAGTTACCTTATGACCCAGCAATTGCATTACTGAGTATTTACCCCAAAGATACAGATATAGTGAAAAGAAGGGCCACGTGCACCCCAATGTTCATATCAGCAATGTCCACAATAGCCAAACTGTGGAAAGAGCTGATATGCCCTTAACAGATGAATGGATAAAGAAGATGTGGTTCATATGTACAACGGAATATTACTCAGCCATCAGAAAGGATGAATACCCAACTTTTGAATCAACATGAATGGGATTAGAGGAAATTATGCTAAGTGAAGTAAGTCAATCAGAGAAAGTAAATTATCATATGGTTTCACTTATTTGTGGAGCATAAGGAATAGCATAAGAGGACATTAGGAGAAGGAAAGGGAAAAGCTAAGCGGGGGGTAATTGGAGTGGGAGATGAACCATGAGTGACTATGGACTCTGGGAAACAGAGTTTTAGAAGGGATGCGGGTGGGGGAATGGGCTAGCCCAGTGATGCACTGGGTATTATACACAAACAATGAATCATGGAACACTACATCAAAAACTAATGATGTACTGTATGGTGACTAACATAATTAAAAAAAAATAAAGATGGGCTATGAAGTGGCTATGAGAACTTAGATAAAAGAATAAAATATTTTGTTTAAATAAAATCTTTACAACAAGCCTATAAGGCAGGTAGTCTTAGTATCCTTTTATATTTCAGAAGTTAAGTAAGTTTATTAAATATAATTTAAGAAATATTTATGGCTTGCCTAACCTGGGCCAAGCCTGGTGATAGGCCCTACAGGGCACAAAACAGATTTGGCTCCTGCTCTAATGGAGCTTGTAGATGTGAGGGGACAGCAAGCACTCATGACAGCACCACATGGAGCAGTGAGGGTCACTGTCAGAACTGTCCACAGAACCACCTAATCTGGACTTGGTGGCTCAGGTCTGGAGGCACTGACATTTAAGTCTAGGCTTGAAAGATGAATTAGATTTGAATTTGAATAGGCTAAGGAGTAGAGAGGAAGGAGAAGAGAAGAAGGAAGGGCCCAGGAAAAGGAAACTGGATATTAAAAACCTTAAAGGTACACACAGGTTCCTAAGAGAGAGAGGAATACTTCCAGAGCATAGTTTAAGTTTTGAAAAAGGCAAAAGGTAAGGCTGCAGAGGGAGACAGGAGAATGGGGGTGAATTGCCTCAAGTCTGATTAGCCTCTGCTTTCTTCTGAGGGCAGTGGGAGCCATGGATATGTTTTCAGTGGAGCTATTATTAGGTCAGAGTTGTCCAAAACTTACCTCCTAGTAAATTTGCAGATGAGAATTGAACCCTGCTTTGTACCACTACCCCAGCATGAGAAAAGATTCAGCATTCTGTCCACAAGGCAGATTCATGTTTTAAATATCTGGCTAGCCATTTCGGGTGTTTCTTTTTTTCTTTTTCTTTTCTTTTCTTTTCTCTTCTTTTCTTTTCTTTTCTCTTCTTTTCTTTTCTTTCTCTCTTTCTTTCTTTCTTTCTTCTTTTTTTTAAGATTTTATTTATCTATTTGACAGAGAGATCACAAGTAGGCAGAGAGGCAGGCAGAGAAATAGAGGGGGGAAGCAGGCTTCCTGCTGAGCAGAGAACCTGATGCAGGGCTCGATCCCAGGACCCTGAGATCATGACCTGAGCAGAAGGCAGAGGCTTACCCCAATGAGCCACCCAGGTGCCCCATTAGGTGTTTCTTAGAACAATATGTTTCATGGGAAATTTTT